ATATGTAGTTATAAATCCTGCTACAGTAAAATCAAATCCAAATGTAGAATATTAAAACAGTCTAACCAGTTGGTGGTTTGCACATTTAAAAGATCGTTATCTCTAGGGCAGGGACAAAGCATCTTTTTCCTTTGGGATGGAGTAGGGTAATCGCCTTTGATGCCAGGCAGGGATGGAGAGTTTAGGGGTCACTGATATACTTGTGTTCTAGGTGATCATAGGTGCACAAAGAACTCTCCATTCGTGCTGATAATCAGAGAGGCAGGAGGCTGGGGAGAGTCACATGGAACTTGTTCAATGAATTGGTCTCCCTGTTCCCTTGACCAGATCGTCACATGAGTGTTCAGAAGGAGGAATCGTGCGGAGTATATGTGCTTTTGCTAAAAAGATAGCCTCCATGCTGACCGAGCATCCTGTTCTTGTTTGTCCCTTCTCCCTTGTATAAGGAGTAGAATTAGACTAATAGGAATAATCAATTCTACGAGAAATCTACATATCCATACCAAAGGTTTTCTCCCAAAGTCTGAACATCTAAAAAAATATTTGCAAAATCATAATCACTGTTTAGCTCCTTAAATATGAGGAAGTCAACAGATGGATGCTAACTTGGATTTGCGTTCAAAATTTGGCGAAGAATTTGGAGTCCTACTTCCATCTCTGCTGCCATTTGGAAATGGCAATGTCATGCTCACTGCCTCTAATTCCACTTATCTTCATATTGCACATCTCATGATTTCTGGGAAAAGCTAGAGCATCTCTCCCCATGGGCCAGCTATTGCTTACAGAGCATGATTTCATAATTTCATCATCACTGCATTGTCAATAGTAAATTGCGGAAATTACAGTGGACTAACCAATGTACAACATATGAAACCTGTGTTAGCCTAATAAAAATAATTTTAAATCATTAACTTCATCAAGATTAATTTTAAAATAATCAAAGAGAACTGTGTAAAATGACTGAAATCCCATTTTATAAATAGTTTTGTGATTTTTCCTGATTATAAAAAGTTGGAGAGATTCAAAAGAAAATTAAAATCTTACTTAAATGCATTTTTGGATGCTTGTAGACCAAGCTCAGAACACTTCCTGGAAGATGGTAAGTAGTCGAATATATGTAATTATTCGATGAGGCGAGGGCCTGAAAGAGCTAGATAAAACCTTTCTAATAGTTTATAAAAAGAAGAAAAGAGAATTAATCGGTGCATGTTTTTTCCTAAAGGCAACTGAATTGAAAATACGATTTTATACTTTTTAGTCAAAGACACTGAAATCTAACTGATGTCACGAGAATAACGAATTTATTTGTACATGTTGCGAATGTAGAAATTGAGATAATTTGGACAGGAGTTAAGATGAAGTTTTCTTTTACCTCATTTATATTAAATGTTCCTTAAGAAAGCGAACAAGGTAAGCAAACTACCTAGGATGTCCTATCTGTGAGGGAGAATAAATCGTTTTCAAGTTCGTACTGCCCCATCACCTCTCCACGTTTGTTGGGAGCTCATTCTGTGGATGGATCAGTTTTCTACTTTAGCTCGCTAACAAAATACTACTCACTTTGTGGCTTAAAACAACACTAATTTCTCTTACAGTTCTGTAGGTCAGAAGCCTGACATGGGTCTCACTGGGCTAATGTCAAGGTGCCAGCAGCTTCTTTCTGGAGTCTCTGAGGAGAATCCGAGACTCGTTTCCTTGGTTTTTTCAGTTTCTAGAGGCCATCTACATTCCTTAATTCATGGCTTCCTTCCTCCATCTTCAAAACCAGCAGCATGGCACCTCTCTGACTTCTGACCACAGCTGGACAAGATTTTCAGATTTTAAGGACCCGTGTGATTACATTGAGCCCACCCAGATAATTCAGGAGAATCTCTCATCGAAAGCCTCTTAATATTAGTCACATATGTGAAGCCCTTTTGGCCATGTGAGATGCCATATTCACACGTTCTAGGGACTGGGACATGGATATCCCTCGGGGCCCCAGTGGGAGGTAGTGGTCTGTTCAGAGGACTATGAGCCAGCCTCAGAAGATATCAAGATAACTATATTTATTTTAAATAAATTTGGTGTATAAAAATTCATATTTATTAATGAAGGGAATAATCATCAACTTCCTTTAAATAAAAGACTTTCCTAAATTATTTGAAATGTTTTAATGTACATAAAATTTTTAAAATAATTTGATGACTAATAGTAAATTATTGCTTAATACTAATAATTCCATTGCCTTCCACAAGTCTATGTATTTTATATCCTTTAATTGTAATAACAATATACCTTTGTACACATAGTACTATCTTATATTCTGTTCTTTTCACTCAATTGCTGTATATACTATTATGCAGACAAGCCATATTTTATTAAGCTTTACTACTGATATTAGAGAGTTATATGCTTACATTTTCTTACTAAAATAGATAATGCTTCGTTGAACATTCACTTATTCATATAGCTGTTTTTTGCTTTTATTGAATAAATCCCTTGGAAAAAAAAACCTTTGGAAGAAATTACAGAGCCAGAATATGTGGCTATCTGATGGTTGACTACCCATTCCCTTCTTTTTGGTTATAGAATCGTAATTTTGTTCAGGTATTAGGTGGTAATTTGGTCAAGGACCATGGGTTTGTCCTGTAAGCCAAACTGGAAATTTCCAACTCCTTTGCCAGTGATTGGTTTAGGAATGACTTGTGACTCAACTCTGCCCAGTTAGACCACGTTGAAGTTTCTGTAGCTGGTGGGGGTTTGATCAGAGCTGGGATTTAGGATGGTGGGTCTGTGGTGTGTTGGCCTTTACCATCTGCATGTCTGTTATTGCTATGATTCAGATGAGAGAAAGAACTGAACTAGGGTGAGATTGGAACAAGAGCAAAGGGCATTGCAGAGGATGAGGCGAAAGAAAGATTCAGAGATGACTGTGCTGCCTTGAGCCAGGGTGACTGTGTGAGAATGAAAGAGCCATTGCTGGGATTGTAGGTTTGTGGTTTGAGGGTATTTTGGACGCTCAGGGCTTTTGACTTGAATTGAGATATGTGACCTGAGGACAGAGTATCCGAATAAATGTGGGACTCCAGAGAGACATTGGGTTCAATAGAAATGTACTGGGAGCAACAAATGCAAGCCGCATAGATAAGTTTGTATTTTTTAGTAACGGTATTTTTTAAAAAGTAAAAAGAAACAAGTGATGTTAATTTTAAAAATATATTTTATTTAACACAACATATAAAAAATTATCATTTCATTATATAATTATTACATACTCCAACATCTCAATTTGCTCCATCCACACTTCGAGTGCTTAATAGCCATGCATGTAGAGAAACGAATTTAGGAGCCAGCTATAAAGTCAGCACCTTCTTTTGCTTTCCAATGTGAACCATGTTTGGGATGGTCCTGCTTTTTTTGCTACTGTGAACAATGCTGTGATGAACAGGTATATACACAACTCCTGGTGTAGGAATTGAGGATTGTATATTCTTAGGAGGAGGGAGGGAGCTGGGGGGGAGCGGAGCAAATCGTGCCCAGTGGTTTTCCAAGGTGGCTGATTGCTCCAGTTCACACTCCCACTAAAAGAGTCCTCATTGCTCCACATCCTCACTAACATTTGGAAAAGTCACGTTTCTTCATTCTTGTCGAACTAGTGGGTACAAAATGGTTTCATATTTTGTCATAATTTTCATTTTTCTGATGATTAATGAGTTTCAATACCTTTTCAGATGCACATGAACCTTCATTTTTTTCTCTTCTGTGGAAGTCACAGATATTTATTCATTCAAATATAAATATATTTATATTATGTATGCCATAAAATATTATATTCATATGTGTGTCATAATATATTCATTCACAAATATTTATTGAGTTCCATTTGCTAAATATTAGCCTAGGTACTGAGAATATACTAGTGGGGAAAAAAAGCCCCAAATCCTGCCCTCATGGAGTTTACATTCTAGCGTGTGTGTGTGTGTGGGGGGGGGGGTTAGCAGGGAGGGAGAGACAAAAAAATAAAATATCATGTCACGTGATGTTAGTGAACCTGGGTTTAAGTCTGGCTCAGCCATTTAAAATCGTTAAACCTTGTTTTCTACAACTGTAAAAGGGAGATGGCAATAATATCTATCTTATGTTCTTTCTTTCTTTTTTGGGGGGGGGCGGGGAAGATTAGCCCTGAGCTAACTACTGCCAAACCGCCTCTTTTTGCTGAGGAAGACTGGCTCTGAGCTAACATCCACGCCCATCTTCCTCTACTTTATACGTGGGACGCCTACCACAGCATCGCTTTTGCCAAGCGGTGCCATGTCTGCACCTGGGATTTGACCCGGCAAACCCCGGGCTGCCGGGGCGAAACGTGCGAACCCAACCACTGCGCCACCAGGGCAGCCCCTCTTATATTCTTTCTTAAATGCATATGAAGAACTTGACCTAGTGCCTGGCAAATTGTAAGGATTCAGAAAATGCTAATTATTAGCATTATTTATTAATTATATAAATTATATATAATGAATTATATATATAAATTATATCTATAAACGGATATATTAATTATGTAAATAATATTATTTTCCTCTTCTCACTTTTACTTTTTCTTTCGTAATTTTTTTCAGTTAGAACTACTGAAGTTTAAGATTAAATATGTTTTGATTTTGTTGAAGTGTTGGCTCTCATTTGTGGGTTGACCTATTAGTGTTTTCTGCAGCAAGACAGATGACTTTGGCCAATTTTGAGATGTATTTTCAAACTTACTAAATCCCAAGGACCAAGAGCCTGAGAACATGCACTTTTTAAAAAACTGCATCATGTCGAATAGGCAAAAATGTGGGGAAATCGGTAGAAATGTCTTATATAGTTCAGGGCTGTGTTCTGTGAGTACAAGTGTTGCTTGAATTAATCATTTCCATCCAACCACCAATTTATTGTAAACTGACAGTGTGCAAAGTACTGTGTCGAAGAGATGCATATGACCTTGCTAATCTTTGGAACAATTCTTTGCCCCTCTTCCTTAGATTATGATGTTGAAAATGATCTTCAATCAGACATCAGTTGAGCACTGCAAGATGCACACAGAGAAGCAGAAAGAATGCAACTTCTTCTTAATAGCTGTTCGCCTGGCGTCACTGAACCAGATCTTGGATCCCTGGGTTTATCTGCTGCTAAGAAAGATCCTTCTTCGAAAGTTTTGCCAGGTAGCAAATGCTGTCTCCAGCTGCTCTAATGATGGACAGAAAGGGCAGCCTATCTCATTATCCAATGAAATAATACAGATAGGAGCATGAAAGAGAACACGTAATCAACTTGCATGTTCACAGCTTTGGGCAACAAACAGCCCTAAACCTTACTGTGAATTTAGGCATCTCTGGCATGCCACTGTTTATACATTGAAGGAGAATTTTTAATATAAGGCTAAATGGTCTCAGAAGCATAGCAATCCCCTATGTGCCAAAAGTATTGAAACACAAACAAAGGAAAATATATTAATAATGGTCTAGTGTTTTTGAGTCTCTCTCATTTCTGGCTGAATAAGTGATTAGTTTTGAGATGTTTTATAAATGGTCTTGGTCTGTGGTGGGGTGGGTGGGGATGGTTAATGTCCCAGTATGCTGACTACACAGGGGATTTAATGCATAGATCATCGAAGATAAGGCAATGGTTTGTTTTTGTTAAGAGACCTTGGTCTTCTGTGTTCTCTTTCTCTCTCTTACTCTCTGTGTCACTCTTTTTCCCCTTACATTTTTTAAAAAGTTGAATTAGGATTAAAAAATATATAATGTACCCAGAATATTCGTTGGTACTGATGTTATTTATATATCACAGAATATTTAAATTACCTGTTAATCTTACAAAGTTTAAGTTTGGTTCGCTTGGTAATTAGGTTACTCATTATCTGACTAACAGTCAATTCCATTTATTTCAAATATGGCAGGATTTGTACCTATCCAAATTGCTGAATGTTCTTCCTTTTGAATACATTTTTTAATTCGTACAAAGTTGCAGAAGATTCATGAAATTGACCTTGAGATTCAGTGAAGTGATTTTTCAAAATGCTATTTAAGGACTGATTTGAGCACTAAATATGGATATGCTGGTTAATTATCTTCCCTGACTTTTCCACCAAAAGTATTTTCCAATCTTTTGGATATATAAATACTAACTCATTCTAAGAGCAAAAAATATTTTGAAGTTTCCATGAAGAATTTCCATAGCTTGGCCTATTTATAGAATAAGAAAATTAATAATATTGACCTGCTCCCAGCACTTTCTCTGCCCTCTCTTCAAAGTTGCTCTATCTATTTATTATTAAAATGTTTTTCTTATAGTCTATATGTATGCAAACCTTGATAGCTAAGCTTGATATCTTTGTGACACAAGTATGTCAGTACATTAAGTTTTGAGAACTGCACTTTAGAAAAAATATCCCCAACAAACACAACAGTCTTTTAAGTTAGACCTACCTAGACAAAATGCTCTTCATATTCTTTAGAGCATTCGTTTTATAAACTCGTTAACTTTTTCTCGTAAAGATCTTAATTTGCAGTTTTCTTTATTGCTTTCCTAGTTTTAAAAAAACTTGAGACTTATTTATATGTCTTTAGTGTAACTAGATTTTTCTTTGTGTTTAGCAGGCATTTAGGGAGGAATTAATTTTAAGAGGTACAATATATCTGTTGGGTTAATGAGCACACCAGCGTAGGTCAATCGGAAAGAAGCTTTAAACGGCCACATCAAATTGAGTGAGAAGACCAGATCTGCTGGACTGCTTATATAATTCATGATGGTTCTGCTAGTCTAGGTTTTGGAAAAAATGGTGATAAATAACCAGCCTAAAACTTCATTCTTAAATCTCTCTATGTCATAGAATTGAGTTATCCCACAGATCCCCTCATGGGTGATGACACAAAACTACCTACTTTTTGTCAGGAAAAAAGTGCATTTAAATGACTATTATAATAAAGAGGCTTTACCTCTTGAGTGGGCCTCTGCCCCTCGATTATAATCAGATAGGCACACACACAGTGTGGATTCCGGTGCTGTGAGGGTGGTGGGGTTATTCTTTCCAGCACCTAGTACAGCACTTGGAATCGAGAAAGTGTTCTCTAAATACTTGTCCAGTGAGTGAATGAATAAACGTCGCCCAGAATCAAGTGCACATCAGTGAGGCACCCGCCATGTGGTTGACGTGCTTCACGTTGCCACAGTCCATCAAGCTGATAAAGTGAATAATCTCTCCTTATTTCATTACGGAAATTGGCATTTATCTTCAAACATGTAGTGTCATATTGCTGCACAACAAAGTGCTTTCTTTGTATTAATAATTTAAGGAACTGATATTTCCAAATGGTAATGGAGATTACTGTCAAAGAAATACCACTTTTCATCAAACTACAGAAGTACGTAAAGACAAAACAGCCTGAAACTTATCCTTAACCTCAAGATTAATTCCTGCCCAGGGATACATGGTAGGAGTGGATGAGTGGCAGTTTTTGAATAAGCTTGAAAAGGAGGTAGAAAAAGGAGAATTATGTAAATGGTGTGTGTTTTGTTTTCTAGGCAGCCATTTGTTAGTACAGGGAAACCCTGTTAAGAAATGTGAATCCCAAATGGTCTCAGCCTTTGGATGGTAGTGGAGGTTAGATTTCAGAGACGTCGTTCAGAGGCCCTGGTGCCCTTAGGAAGTGCACATCTGGTCATTGCAGAAGAGAATGTCCATTGCTAAGTTGAAGTTCATGGGCCGTTAAGTTCACTCTCATGTACTTAGTTTATCCATGCATATATCTGAGCAGGAAAAAATACGTGCATAAAATATGACAATTCCTAAACTTCACAGTATTGATAAAAAAAAGAAAATAGAGACCCAAGAAACCACATGGAAAGAAATGAGTGCAATGTAGAAATACGTGTAAAACCAGTTGTAGTAGATTTTACAAAGCAGTCCTGATTTTCCAAACAATGAATTTATACAGCGATGCTGTGTCGTGGAAGAGAGCGACGACATGCTATCTGATGAGAACAGTTTACTTTAAAAAAATAGGTATGGTGGCTATCTTAAAAATATAAGAAGAAAACAAAATTTGTTATCTCAAGATTTACCAAATTTACCTACTGCTGTATTCCAAGATGTTTTAAGTAAATATAAGTGTTTAATCATGCCAGATTTCAAGGACAACGAATTAAAAAGTGCAAATTTACCACTACTTATCACTTCTTTATTATATAAAAGATCTCTCAATCACGTTATAGAAAGAAGCTGCAGAAGCTCATGTAAAAGTTACCTATAAAAGACACTGTGAGCACGCTAGCGTTGCATAATAGACAAACCAAAAATTCTAAAACAGTATTTTAAAAGGGTGGTCAATCTGTGGCAGTATTCTAATATTAGATTTTTAAGTGGATTAGGGCTTTAATTTATTTAATACTGTTTATATTTTTGTTGGTTTTAACCCCAAATTCGTGATCGGCTTTCAATCTTCCCCACAACAATCATTGACTAGTTCTTTTGAATTGGGATTGAGTCAGAGACAGAAAAGGGGAAAATTTTGTTCTTCGAAATTTTAGGCACGTATACTGCCTGCTAGTTTTCATACTTTAGCCCCAAAAGTTCTCTTGAAATATGAGAGATACTGGAAGATGAGTGACACAGAGAGGCTGCTGAATATTTATTGCTACAAACATACTGAAAGCTTAATATGGAATAATTAAAATTTCCATGATTTACCTATACAAAAAATTTAGACCATGAACCATGCCAAATCTTCACAGCTGCTTGTTTATTGCTGGTTTTGTGCTTGTATGTGTCTCAAAATCTCTACAACTGAGGTCTAAATAAATGTACAAAATTGTTCAAAGAATCAAATTACATCATTTTAAAAGTGAAGAATATTTAATACCATGGCTAAGTCCAGAGGACTGTTTTTTGAGTTGCAATAAAATGCTTATAAGCGGTAACCTACATCTGTGATGTTTTAAAAGACAGGCTGTGATAGAGCCAAATTACAAAATTTGAAAATCAATCTAAAACTCACATGCGCATTTGTTAAGAAGCTGGCCATCAGGTCAGTATTCTAAGATAACTAGCAGGTGGTGATTACATATGAAGTATGAAACAGAGAATTAGGGAAAATTTTTAAATTAAAACTCTATTGTATTGGTATCATTTATCTAGACACCAATTTCAGGTGAAAGTTCATATTCATTTGCATTACTCCCACCTAAAAGATTTGACTTTTATGATGAATTTGTATCTATGGTTATCAAGGAAAATCTTTCACATGTCTTCCCTGAATGTCTTTTCTGATTGAGTTTACCTTGAATAAAACTGAAGAAAGTAAAAAGAGTAGTACAGGGTGACTTTGTCCTCAAAGTAACAAAGAGAAAGCTGAGACTATACATATCTACGAAGGACTCTAACAAGTCTAGAATTAAGGCATTTTTTCAAAAAGAGATCAACAACTACTTTTCAAGTCAGATAGAAATGTCTTCAAAACATGCTACTTAACATTTCCTTTCTCACTCGCCCCTGTTCTGTACTCTTTTAAGAAATGAAAGAGCACAGAATTCTTGTTTTATATATTCTCTATTTTATAATTCTTAAAATGAGGATTCTATTTAAAGGCTTATAATTTATACGAGTTGAGTTGTAAGCCATTACATTACAATATCATAAGCTGAGTACATTTTGATTCTATAGAAATACAATTCAATCAGATATATACCATATTCATTTATATCACACATTTTCTTTATTGAGAATGAAAATTATTTTCTTTTCAGAAGTTTTACATCCATCAATTTTATGTCATAAGCAGCCCAAATATCTCCCAACTCATGTATTTCTTCATTAGGAATGAGACTGTTCCTGCCAGCCCCTTGCCTCCAACCTGTTTAGCCATTTTTTAACAGAGAGAAAGTAACAGAAATATTTACTATTGGTGAAGCTGGGAGCGTTCTTAAGAGGCGAGAGAAAGGCTTCATACTTCTAATATGCTAATGCCCTAATATATGGAACAGATGTGAGTCTGTTTTTTAATAAATCTGCTTTGATGAAACAGTTTTATTATGGGCGTAAAGAGAGGAAGGAAAGAGATGACCATCAGGAACAAATCAGCCTTTTCAGGCTTTTTCAGCATTTTGGAGATGATTCCATCTCTAAAGTTATTTTCAAATGTGCAGCTTTTAAATTCTTTTGTCA